TCCCCCCATCCCCAAGCCCTGCCAGGAATAATTTCTGAGTGCAAAGCCAGGATTAAGCCCTGAATACATCCAGTTATAGTTAAAAACTAACACCAAAAGAAAACTCAAGGAAAAGGCAATATCCCCTGTTTATAGATTGGAAGGATTAGAGTTGTCAAAGTGACAATTCTACTCAAAGCAATATATCGATTCAATGTAGTTCATATAAAAGTACTCATGACATTCCTTAGAAATATAGACTGGGCTGGAGTGATAGCACAGTAGGTAGGGTGTTTGCCTTGCATGCGGCCGACCCAGGTTCTATTCCCAGCATCCCAGTTGGTCCCCTGAGCACCTCCAGGAGTAATTCCTGAGTGCATGAGCCAGGAGTAATCCCTGAGTGTTGCCGGGTGTAACACAAATATAGATATAGATATAGATATAGATATAGATATAGATATAGATATAGATATAGATATAGACAGACTAGGCAGAGCCTAGCAAGCTCCCATGGCATATTTGATATGTCAAACACAGTAACAGTGGTGTGTCTCATTCTCCTGACTCTGAAAGAGCCTCCAATGTGGCATTGTTGGGACGTATTCTTAAGGAGAGGCTGCTAAAATCTCAGGGTTAGGGTGAATGCAGACTTACTGGTGCCTGCTCGAGCAAATCAATGAATAACGGGATGACAGTGATACAGTGATAGACTAAATGCTGTGAAAATTTAGATGGAGTAATTAAACCTTCTGAGTGGCCAAAAGAATCCTAGAAAACAAGAAGGTGGAAGGCTTCTTTTTCCCCAATGTCAAAGTATAGTTTTAAGCCGTAGTAATAAAAGCAGTTTGATACTGGAGTAAAGTCGACTCTCAGACCAATGGAACAAAATTGAGATCCCAGAGACATTTCCTTAAGTGTGTATGAAGCTAATCTTCAACAAAGGAGTTAAGAGTATGAAATGAAGTGTACCAAGGCGTTCAACAAATGGTGCCCAGAAAACTGGTCAGCCACATAATAATATGAATGTAGACCCCTATGTCAGACGGTTCACAGAGTAAATTCAAAATGGACTAAAGATCATGAGATCATACTTGAGTCAATAAGCCATATTGAGGAAAACATAGGCAGAATCTAGAGGCATCTTCAATAATAATTAAACCTTAAACCCAGAACAGGAGGAGAGGCTATTGAAGAGAAGAGATGGTCATTTTAGAGAAAGAACAGACAAAATCTGGGTAAATGTTGGTTTTATAACGTAAGGGTGAACAGACAGTAAAAATCTATTTTCAGGTGAGTGGGTCAAGAAATTGTCACACACACAATAGATTGTCATTCAACTATGAGAAAAGATGGAAATTTTTGGTTTGCTGCAATTTGAATGGAATTGGAGGGTGTCATGATAAGTGAATTGAATCATAAAGTAAAGGATAAATACCAGATGATCTTGCTCACATGTGGAATACAAAGAAATGGATTGGCAATCACTAGTGGAAGCAAATCCTCAGACATAATCAGTAGAACCAGAAACTAAAGGATGGAGGATAGGAGGAGGGGAAAGGAAGAGTAGAATAATGATGGAGGGATCTTGAAACACTGGTGGAGAAATTGATGTAGTGTTTTACAAAGTAATGACTTTAATGCTATTGTAAACTAAGACACTTCAATAAAAATAAATAAAAACTCAGACTCCAGATTTGTTACAGTTGAATAAGATACAAAACTTTATGGGTAAATGAAACAAAATAAAACTAGTTATTTTAAAATGGATTTGTTCAAGAGGGCCCAGTAATGTCTTCATTGTGAGACTTGTTACTGTGTTTGGCATAGTCCCTAGGGACTGGAGCAATAGTACAGCGGGTAGGGTGTTTGCTTTGCATGTGGCCAATCCGGGTTCCAGCATTCCATATGGTCCCCCGAGCACTGCCAGGAGTAATTTCTGAGTGCAAAGCCAGGAGTAACCCCTGTGCTTTGCCGGGTGTGACCCAAAAAGCCAAAAAATAAACTAAAATAGTCCCTATATGAAATCTCCAGACCCATGGAGTTGGGAATAGGCAATCTCTCCCCATCTTCCTGTGCTTCCAGGAGCCTGGCAGTTATGCCCATGAACTGCCTCTGGCTCCATATAAGCTCATTAAGAGTCATGATCCAGAGACTCACAAATAAATCTTGGAAGAGAGCAACAAGCTGCAGAGATACCTCTGGACCCTGCGGCAGGCTGTCTCATGGGGGGCATCTGGGAGGGGTCAGGTGACACTCTCCTCCAACTCCAACAGCCCCAGCAGCCGAAAACCTCTAGAGCTCAACTGCAGCCATGCTCATGGCTGATTTCCACAGGCTCAGTGAGCCTCATCCGTGGGTGAATCTGCTGAAAAAACCAGGTATGCAGGACTTGCGACCGAATTCTCCTGGCTCTCGTGGAGGCAGGAATGGGCAACCTTGCTCCATCTCCCTGTGCTTCCAGGACCCTGGCAATCATGCCCACAAGCTACCTCTGGTGCCATATAAGCTCACTAATGGCCATAATGAAGAGATTCACAAATGAATCTCAGAAAAGAGCAACAAGCTACTCAGATGCCTCCAGACCCAAAAGTCACCATCCACTTAAAAAATTAACTGCAGCTATATCACCCTATTTAAAATTTTAGATTTCCTGGAGCACGCAGCCACAAATGCGGCCACATGACATCTCACGCTCTATACTCCTGATGTACCAAAAGTACCACATCACACCACGTAGAAGGAAAACAGTCTTGATTTTAAAATATACATACGTATATGTATATAAACATATATATTAGCACGCAAGGCCCAACCTTTAACAATAGTAATATCTTATGCAAGGGCTTGATGGCTCTAGGTTGAAATACAACAATCTTCACACATTTTCCTCTAAGGAAACCTTTTAAGTGGATTTTTAGTGGATTAATTCATAACAAGCAATACAAAATTATTTAGGGCCTGCTTTGGGGGCAGGCTGGGAGGGGGATTGGAAAATTCGAAATATGGTGGTGAGAAAGTGTAATGGTGGTGGGATTGTTGTTGAAATATTTACTGTAATAAATTATTGTGAACACATTTATAAAAAATAGTCGCTATATATCAACATAGTATGAAACATAATCATTATTTTTAGAATAATTTGAAAAATTATAGGTAACCAGGTATTTTTTAATGTGTAGAGTTCTATCAGATGCTGTAGTCTCTTCATTTGGAGATTTATAAATGGTCAGTTACCTAGTGAGTTACCTGAGAAATTTATAGTGAAGCTGAAAATTAAGGTTTTTCAACTGAATTTTTATTTCCTTTCATTCCTGGATCCTGATTTCCAATTTCTACTTATCTGTGCTTGGATTTTCAAGTGTTTCTTCTAAGTTCCATTGTTTCATCTTAAGTTGAACCTTATGTGATCCCTTAATGCCCAATTAAGTTTATTAGTCATTTTGTTTATTTTGCTTTGCTTTTAAGTCTGACATCCATCTTTTCTCTTTACTAGAAGTTTTTTTCTTAATTTCATCAATTGATTTTTATATTATATTATTAATTATGTTACAGCATGGTTTCCATTTATTGTGGCTTCCCTAAATCAATTATATTTATTCTGGTAGCTCATCCTTGCTTAAGTATTATGAATTTCAAACTTGTATAGAAATGAAACATATTTTGTATATTTAACTTTAAGAATACACTCTAATTATAGAAGTGTGAAAATTCATTATGAATTCAAGGGTTATCATTCTGTATTTTGTCTGTCATCGCTTTCCCACCCTGGCCTATACAGTCTCTCTTCTCCACATACGATGTGTTTTCACATCACCTTTCCTCTGCAGTTGCCTCCAGACTTCCTCCTCTTGTAAGGGATATTGAATCATGTTGAATTAGGACCCACCCTAGTGACCTTATAACTTATATAAAGTTCTAACTCATTATAACTTAATTGTTCTTTATGACCCTTTCTTCGAAAACTGTCACATTCAGGGCTACTGGAAGTGAGAACTTCAAGCTGAATTGAGTAAAGTAGGGAGGCACACATTTTAGCCCTCAACAGGAATGATCTTTATTTTAAAATTACTGGGACTGGAGTGATAGTACAGTGGGTACGGTGTTTGCCTTACACACGGCCGACCTGGGTCCAATCCCCAGCATCCCATATGTCCCTCAAGCACCACAAGGAGTAGAGTGCAGAGCAGGAGCGATTCCTTAGCTTCCTGGGTGTGACCCAAAACACAAAATAACAATAGGTAAAGGTAAGGTAAAGGCCCTCCCGTTGATCGTCGATTTGCTCGAGCGGGCCCAGTAACGTCTCCATTGGAGACTTTGTTGTTACTGTGTCTGGCATATCGAATACTCTCGGTAGCTTGCCGGGCTCTCCGAGAGGGGCGGAGGAATCGAACTCGGGTCGGCCATGTTGGCTGCGTGCAAGGCAAACGCCCTACCGCTGTGCTATCGCTCCAGCCCCCAAAATAACAATAATAAATAAAATTACAAGACTGTGTTTATTCCATGAGTATAGTTTTGATATTATACTTTACCAGATAACATCATAGCTTGTACATTTTCCCATTTTGTTGTTTAGCCATTCTAACAATTTAGCAGTTGCAAAATACTTTGTCAATTGATTATAATATCTCAGCCTTTTGTTTCGTACATTCGGGTGTCCCCCATATTTTATCATTATGCTATATTATAAAAAGTTTATTTTAATAAAACATTTTTATTTATTGTGAATTAGTACTTGAAATAGAATCTTAGGAATGAATTATTTTGTAATAATATATTTAAACATACTTGTAAATTTGAGATATTTTCAAGACTGAGAGTGGTAGCCCAATGGGGTAAGTACATACTTTGCATGAGGGAGGCCTGGGTTCTGCCCCTGGCATTTTAGGTCTCCTGAGAGTAAGGAGTAGCATCTGAGCACTGCTTGAGAATGGCCTTCAAACCAAAACAAAAAAATGATAAAAACAACAACTACTGAATGCCTATAGTTCCTTTCCACCTGACTGTCTTCTCTCTTTCCTCAGTACTAAACTGGAATGATGTTAGAAAACACAAATATGGTGACCTGTCAGAGTCTGCATCCCAATATCAAGGTAAGAAAAAGACTATAATTACCATGGACATTTTTTTATTTGACATTTCTTCCCACAAGTCTTATTCTTGAAGGCTGGGGTAGATATCAAGAACTTGAAAGAAGCAAAAGAACTCAAGAAATAAAAGGAAACGTTATAGAGTAATAGAAGTATCTGTCAAAAGCTTTATTTGAATAGAATTTAGGGAGCTTAGATTCTGAACATAGATAATTCCGATTAGCTTCATAACCTTATAAGCACAGTTTTGTTGTTATGTATTTTTAGACAGTGTGGTTTTCAGTGCTGTTAGTTCATTGGGTTCATGCATCCAATGGTCCAGCATCACACTTTCCACTCTTGTCCTCAGTCCACTCATTGCCCCATCCACCATGTTAAGTTCACTTCTGTAGACTAGTTCTGTGGTCTTCTGTCATTTGTTATCCATGGTTTCTTTATCTCATGTATTTAAATCAATATTTCTGGACTTACATGAATTTTAGAATTTAAGATTTTAGACTTGAGAATAAGGTAGAATTGGATGATGGATTCCTACCAACTATTCATAACAAACTCTCAAATCCTTGTATGTCTCCAAAATTTACTTTTGTATCATTTTAATTTGTCACAATGACTTATGCTGTAACCTTTTTGTCTTTGATAGAAGCTACTGACATCCTGGAGCTAGGTAAGATATTTTTCTTGTGTTTCTGTTAAATAATGGGGAATTTCCAAGGGAATTAGACTTAACTATGGAAATAATTTCATGTATCAGTGTCTGGTGAATTAGTGAATACAGTGGTCTTTTATATCTTTGAACTCATATAATTCATTTTAACTGTCATGACACATCCTCTCTGTCAGGAAGCCATGGACAAGAAACGTAAAAGGAAAAAGGACTAATTACATAGAGTACAAGGAAAAAGAGAACTAAACTAAGCCGGAAGTAATTTCTTAACTCATGAAATTTCCCAAAATAAATTATTCACGAGCTATAGTGAACGAAAATTAAACATAAAGATTTTCTAATTGTAACTAATTAAGTATTAAAATTTTAAATAGCACATATCAAATTAATCCTGCACTTGGTTTTCAGTCTTAGAGTCATTTAAAGTTCTACCTGTTAATATTAATACTGATACTCTGATACCTTTATTAGTTTCTATTCAGGTATTTTTATAATTTTGTTACTGAAATCTCTTGTGTTCAGCTCTGTTGTTGTCATTGTCACAATGAAATCAGCTGAAATCATAACATGCTGATTTCCTTGTCTGCTGACAAAGCAGGCACAGATGAGTGAGAATTCCTGGTTACTCTGAAAACTAAGTCATTTGCTTAGTAATTATATGATTCTGATCCTTAGTTTCCTGATTTCTGAAAATAATTATTCTGGAAATAATCATTCTGCCTATTTCAAAATCTTAAGAAGACTACATGGGCTAATCAAAGAATGCAAATACTTTTCAACTTTGGCGGATCATTATGATTTTCTGATTCTATTCAACGACTGTCAGATTTTAAGTCAAGTCTTGTCACATTCTTTGAAGTAAAGATTTATACAACTATAAGCTGAAGAATGAATGAAATGAAGAAACGGAAGCCACTTTTTACTGTTCCTTAAAACTTTGCTGTAGTTTCCTGAGGCACTGGTATATGATAGAGAATACATGGACATAAGAATCAGGCAGGCCTTGGTTCAACTTCAAGTTCCCCACTCATCAGTCTTTTGATTTCAGGAAAAATACTGAACCACTCAAGGTCTATTTCCTCACCTTTATAAATGATGAATGGGTCAGAGCGATAGTACAACAGGTAGGGCTTTAGCTTGCACGTGGCTGACCCAGGTTCGATCCCTGGCATCCCATATGGTCCCCCAAGCCCCAGCAGGAGTAATTCCTGAGCATTGCAGGGTGTGAGCCAAAAAATATATAAAAATAAAAATTATGAAAAACTATTCTACATGTTATGATGAACAGGGGAAATACAGAACATAGTGTGCCAGAATATAGTACAGACAAATGAAAGTTGCTTTGTGATACTCTTTTTAATTTTGTTGCTAATGTGAATAATAGTAACAGTTCAGTGACAATTTAAGATATGATGAATGGCATGTTTTGTTGAATGGAAATTGTGAAAAGTAGATACTGAATTTAACAGCATACCTAAGTAAGTTAAAATTTGAAAGTGTGTGTATGTGTATTTACTGAGGGTACTAGCAAGGCTGCAAAACCAGGCATATTCTCTAGTAAGTCAACCTGCAAATTCAATCTTACCCATTAGAGGGTCTCTAAATAAAATATTTGGTAGATTTTTAGGATTTTAGAGTTTGAAAAAAGTCTTAAAAATAATTGGAGTTGGCCCAGAATTTCAAAAGTCAACGGTTTTTAATTTCTTAGAAAAGTCTTCCTCAACTGCTCAAATTGATGAAAACTTACAGCCACTTCACTTGTGTGTGTATTACAATTTTAACCAGGTTACTTATGAACATTTTATATATATGCCTGAATAATTTCCATTTTGCAAGATTCTGCCAATCTACTCACTGTGACTCTATCATGTTATATTGTACCAATATTATGTGTTACTATTGTGATGTGTTAAGAATATTACATTTTCTATTATCGTCTAGTCTTAGTCTGTATATAATTTTAAATGATATTTTATACTTCAATAAGTATTTAAACCTTTACTGCTTAGAAAGCAGCTCATAAGATTCTTCAGTAACCTGTAATATTAAACTTTTTAAAATTAATGTAAGGTCATCTAATTAGGGATTCTTTGCTCCACCCCCTTTCCCTCAAGTAGTTGTTCTTTTTTTTTTTAATCAGTGTACATTGGTTTACAGTATAATCTTTATGAGCCAGAGAGAGGTTAAGACCCTTGTCTTGCATGCATCTGAACACAGTTTGATCTCCAGCACCTCCTATGGTCCCCCAACCCTTTCCAGGAGTGTTCCCTGAACACTGACAGGAGTGATCCCTGAGCACCACTGGATTTGGCAAAAACTAAAACAGAGACTCTTCTATAGAGTCCCCTTTAGATATTTTGGGGAGTGAAAAAAGTTTGTAATTTTTATTAATCATCTCATTTCAGGGCAATATAGGGTTGGATAAAAAAATTTTATCCAGTTTTTCACTCACTGATATTTAGTTATTTATTAGAATTAGGGGCTATCTTCTTATTGGCACTCAATGACTTTCCTAGTTCACATCATCATTTTTGCACTCCTACATTTTCAGAACAACTTCCCAACTGTTCTTGCTGAACCTGACTTTGTCCTCTTCAAATCCATTCTTCCTACCAGAGACAGATGACTGATCCCACACACCCCTCTGTGTTTTCTCTTCTCATCAGAATGAAGCTCTCTGATACCATAACTCTGACTTTACCCAACATCTCTAAACTACAGTTTCTTTTTCTTTAATTTTTTATTTGGGTACTGTTATTTATAATACTGTTGATAGTGGAGTTTCAGGAGTATAGTGTTTCAACTCTTACCCACCACCAGTTATGTGTTCTTCCATAATTGTGCCAAAATCCCCTCCCACCCTTTCCCCTTATCAAACTCATCTTCTTCTGCTTCTGCTTCTTCTGTTTCTTCTTCTGCTGCTGATGCTCCTCCTCCTCCTCCTCCTCCTCCTCCTCCTCCTCCTCCTTCTTCTTCTTCTTCTTCTTCTTCCTCCTCCTCCTCCTCTTCTTCCTCTTCCTCTTCCTCTTCCTCCCCCCTCCTCTTCTTCCTCCTCCTCCTCCCTCCTCCTTCCTCCTTCTTTTATTATTATTATTATTATTATTATTATTATTATTATTATATTTTGGTTACATGTTTGCAAGAGTATTGACTTGTATGCTCTTGATATACAGTTGTCTCATCTGTCCACCACCAAAACATCCAAGACCCTTAGCCATGCTACCTCCAGTCCACCATTTCCCCTCCTCCTATATCCCAACTTACTTGGCATTCTTGGCTGTATAATACAAGGCCAAAGGTAGCCATCAGGCTGTGTCTTGCATTCCCTTGTCTTGTTGCACTGCATACAATAGAAAAGTGAGATCATCAGGTATTTGCCCTCCCTCTGACTTATGTCGCTTAACAATATACCCTCCAGTTCTATTCAAGTTGCAGCAAACAATAATTCACCTTTTCTTACAACTGCATCATATCCCAATGTGTATCTACACGACTTCTTTACCCAAGTGCCTATCATTGGATATTTGGGTTGCTAAACTACTGTTTCTTTAAATGCCACCCAGTTGCTACACAAAAAAGTTCTGTTTTTAGAATTTATTTTTCTTGTTTCGGGTCTTTATGCATGCTTTTCCCCCCTCTGTCAGAAACAAAATGGCACAAAAGAGAACTTCCTTTCTCTTTGGCTAACTCCCTCTTGTCCTTTTACACTTAACATAGAAGTTGAGAGGATAATTCTTTTACAACGATCTGTTGTTCCTACAACACTCTCCATCTTCAAACTAGCACTTGTCACAGTTTATTATGGTTGGCTCTTTAGCACGACCCTCAAGAGAAAGAAGCTCTCGGTATTTTCATCATGCTGGTATCTTTATCACCCAGCACAATGCTCTGATACTACAAATATCATTTAAATGGAGGGAAGAGGAAACAATTTTGAGACTTGGCTTTTTATTCATATGAAATTTTCATTGTTCCTGTAACAGGTCTTCAAATAATATAGCTTTGTGTCTTTCAACCACTAAGGGCACTCTTTAGTTGGTATTATCCACCTCAAAGTAAATCTCCCATAATTAAAATTAATATCCCAGGTTTGGGTTTACTAGCCCATAAAAAACTATTGCTTGCTTACTGCTTCTTTGCATTAACTGAAAAATTTTTATTGAGCCTCCATTAAGTGTCAGGGATTGTGTTTAATAGTGAAGATATTTACTATTAAATAGTGAAGATAACTTTTATCTGTTTATTTTCTTATTATGCAAAGAGCTCACAAAGATAATTATAGTAGTATGGAGCTTGCATAAATATTTATGAGCATCTGATGTGATGAGTCGGGGAGAAAAAAAGGAGTCAGCAGAATGAAATATAAAAAAATTTCCCCAAAGAATAAGAAAATATTTTTCTGGGGATTCAGGAAAAGTATAGAAAAGTAAAATTTTTATTAAGCCCAGTCTTTGAGTAGGAATAACCTGAGCCAAAACATGGAACTAAGAAAGTCAGGACTTTGTTTTAGGAAACTCTGAGGTTTCTAGTTTGTGAGTCTCTATGTCTTTCACTCCAAATCTTTCTCATTTCATAATACCCTCCTGGACCCTCCAAAGACCTGTAGAGTTCTGGTGTTCTTTCTCTCCTTTCTCTGTTGCTTGGAATTCTATGTCAGAATTACGTATAGTTCGGGGGTGAGGGCAAAGGACTTGATCTATATGCTTTATTTCCATTAAGTAAAAATATTACGGGACCTGAAGTAATAGTGCAATGGGTAGGGTGCCTGCCTTGTACACGGCAACCTTTGTTTAATTCCTGGCATCCTGCATGGTCTCTAAGCACTTCCAGGAGTAATTCCTGAATGCAGAGCCAGGAGTAACCCTTAAGGATCGCTGGGTGTGCTCCCAAACCAAAAAACAACAACAACAAAAATTACAAATAACTTTTCCTTTTCATCTTTTTGTTTTTTAGAGGAAATATGGGAACCAGCGCAGTAGTAAAGTAAGTAGGGCACTTGC